ATGCCCTGAACCGTCCAGATGGACGGTTCAGCCCCAACCGGCGGGCGGCAGCCTCAAGAGCGCCACCAGGCCCAAACGATAATGCCGTTTGGGCCTGCCCGTTGGGTACTGGTCCAAGATCAGGCCCTGAGGGCCTGTACTATCCCAAGGTCGGGCCTTTAGGCCCTGATGTGTCCCTCCGACCCTAAGTCGGGTCCGGTAGGGCCCGTGTGCGTCGAAGATGTAACAAATACCCCCTATACCACCCCTATAACCCCCACTCGTGGTTAATAGGTGGTGTCATTTTCGGCGAATTTTTCAAAGCTACTCCGAATAGGGTTTTATAGTGCTTTTGAGTTGTTGTTTTTTTCGGTTTTTTTTGCCTGTTTGTTTTTTTGGTGTTTGTATTATAAGCTTCCAGAGTTTGTTTGCAAAATTTCCGACGACATTGCTTGTACTGATGCGGCGAAAAACCCCAAATTTGGGGTCTTCCATTAACCATCTCTCATAACCCCCTATACTCCAACCCCAACCCCCCCATATCTCCCCCATCCCCAAGAGTTTCTCAGCAGATTTGGGCTGTACTCAGCAAGCGCAGTACAGCCCCCAACTCAGATTTGAAAAAAAAATCAGTGGACGTTTTTTATATTTTTTACTGGTCGGCAGACCGCCGACCAGTCGGCCTAAGTGGTCGGCTGCAATACGGTCGGCGGTCGGCCGGGATGCAACCCTGCCAGGAAATAAATAAAACGTGCATTCCACAAAAAAAACAAAAAGAGTGCATAGGGAGAAAACAAAGCGTCGATTCCATCCACCAGCCTTTCCCCCAATAGAAAGCATGGGACCCAGATGTGCATATGGTCTGACTATTACGCGAGATACAGTCAAAATGGCCATGCGTTCGACGATTAGTTGTGGAACGTCTTCTTGTGCGAGGCATAAGGCCCCGATGAGCCCATTTTTCCCCTGTAAGCTGCACGGTCGGCCGCCCTAAGTGAAGGCAGGCCCGACTGAGGCCAAGAGACCTATTTTTCGGCCACCACGCAACTGGGGAAATTCAGGCAGTTGCGCAGCGCCAGTTGGTTGAGAGCGCCCAGGCCCTGGCTGCCTTTTAGTACGAAGCCGAGGCAGGTCCTGGGCCAGATACAGAACATGGGCCGAACACAGGCTGCGGGCAGTTGAACACGGGCAACCGTCACAGGCCCTGGGCCTGATTCGTTTGGACCGAGGCTCAGCCTCTCTGGGCCTACCGGAAGCTTCTAGGCAGGGGCCCAGCACAGCCAGGGCACATGCAGCAGGCAGGCCACTTCCATTTAGAAATGTGCCTGCCCGCGCATTTGGCATTCGGGCACTGGCTGCATGCTGCGCTAAACGCTGGCCAGGCCCACACGCTCACGGGCGAGCAGGGAGAGCAGGCAGCCATAGCCAAGCTGCGCTGCGCTGAGCTGGATGGGGCGCATGGTGGTCCTTGGGTGCATGTGGCATCTGTGAGTGGGGGATCGAGGTTGTGAGTGATACGAGAGACATACCTGGTGCTGGCGAACGGCAATGGCCGAGATCTGTCCGTACTTCTGGGAGCTGTTGCCAGATAGGATGTCGACATTGGTTCTTTGCCGATGATGATGAGACTATCCCAACATTGTCGCTTATGAGTTTTTGCTGTGCTCTTATTTGGTGGAACTCGTGTTGCAATTCTGCTTTTGGTTCGAGGTCACGACTATCTGGTCTCATGTGTATGATGCTGCTTGGTTTCTGAAGTTCGCTATTGCTCATTTTCCTTGCAATTTGGTATCGGAGCTGCGGTACGGTGCGCTAATCTGGCGCTTGACTTCTGCCTTTGCGGTGCATGCACGCGGTCTGGAGGGCGAGCGGCCGTGAGAGGTGTGTAGTGAGGAGGGCTAAGGCCAGCAGGCGACCCTGGTGGAGAGGGGTTCGCCAGGAAGGCTATGAGGTGATATGGGTGTGCGCAGTGTGATGATGTGCGATTGATGCAGAGGTGGAACGGCGGTGTAATGCTGGTTGTGCCGAAGCAGCGATTGGTCATCACAACCGGCATCAGGACATCTGGTGAGAATATATGTGGTTGGGGGCAGCTATTTTGAGGTACGTTGCTCTTAACCCTACCTATCCTCTTCGACACTTCTTACCTTCCAATCCAGTGAGGAGTCCTCTCATTGAGTGTCTTCTCATGTGAGGAGTCGAGTGCGCTCAACCTTGAGAGTCGGCATTGTTCACGTGGAGCATCTGGAAGGAGAGGGCAGAGCTATCTGAAGGGCCCTGAACGAAGCACTGGGTCACAGTCACCATGCCAACCCACCGGGAGTAGAGCATGCATGCTTTGCTGCTTTGTCCTTTGTCTGCCTGCTGTGCTGATAGATGGGTGATGAGGGGCAGGCCAGTCCTACAGGGTAGACGAGTACCGGGCATCTATAAATAAGCACCGGCAGGGTTACCTTCCACTGGCTGTGATCGTGTTCCTGTCTGCGACGTCGTCCTTAAACGCCTCTTGATCAGCCAGGTGGTCGGTGTCTGCACGCGAGGATAAACATAGTGCAGGGCTGGCCAGCTCAGCATACACTCGAGGCACAGGGGTGGGCCGTGTGCACACCTTTTGACACGCACACTATCTGGATCGCTCAGGGACGCTGGCGTCAAGAGACAATCAGGAAGAACTGAGGGAGGGGTAGATTCCAGGTGATAAGTTCGGGAAAATTCCATTCTGCCAACAGACCCAACAAACGATTCTATTTTTATTTTGATTAGTTAGATGGACGCATTGAAGGGCAGACAGAATAGGTAGAAACAGTTTCTGCTCATTTGCTTATCTGTTTGTGGACTAATCCAAGTAAAATAGTTTCGTTTGTACGAATCTGGACTTACCTGTTGGACCAAAATGTATAGACTCTGATTTAGCCACCAATTATTTATTTTATTATTTTAAATTGGTCTGTGCATTACGGTGTGGTAGGCATCGAATGTGACCTAGTGCAGATTGTGTGCAGTTTTGTAGCTAATGAGCGACAGGGAAGAAACTAGAGAGGACGATAGGATCCTGCGCTCAGCAAGGCGCCCAATAGCCCACTTGGCATTACGACCAGAGGGCGACAGATTCCTGTTACGCCAGCAGAGGGAGAGACGACAGCAGCAGCAGAGGGCAAGGGCCGCAGAGGCAAGCAGGGCATTCGCAAGCGAGGCTGCAACTTCAGCAGCCATGGCCACTGCTGCGCAGCAGAGCTCCCAGGCCAGTGGTTCAGGAACTGTAGGGGTGACCATTGTGCAGACCCTGAGTCAGTCCACTGGCGTTATGGCAAGCCAGCCGTTAGTTTTGACTCCCGAGGAGATCGCCATACAACAAGCAGATGCTCAGGAGGCACAGCTACAGAAGGCTTTAGGAGAGAGAAAGGCAGAAAAAGAAAGAGTAGAAGACCAAGGATGCAGCGGAGACAAGCGGAGATTAGTGAGTTAGAGGACATGGACCTGACAAACATGGATGATGATGTGAGGACCATGCAATCAGACTCACTT